TATAATACTTGCATTCCCTGCCTCACGAGGTCTTTGTGACTGAGTGCTTTATAGTGCTCTGGAAAATTGGTAGTATTAATAAAATGCTATTTCCACACTTTTTTTTTTAACTTTCCATCAGCCATTTGTCGATTCATGTTTCCCTACTTATCTTTCTCACTTCTTTGTGTTTACATTCCCCTTAGCATCCCCGCCTCCCCATCACAATTAAGTGAATCCTTTGCTGTGACCCGAGGGGGTGGGGACTCCAGCTTACCTAGCAGGAGGGAGCTAGGCACCTTCCAGTTGAGATGGGGTGAGAAAGGTCTCCCTGGCTCCGAGTCAGTCTTCACGTCTGGCTGCTTGTTACACTTTCTCTGTGTCTTTTCTGGCCACTTTTTCTCCCTTTTCCTTCTCTAGAACTGTCTGTCCTCTGTCCTCTCTCTGGCCTCCTTTGACCCTTCTCTGCCTCTCTCTGTGTCTCTGTTTTTTGCTGCATCTCTCCTAGCCCTCCCTAGATCAATGGATTTAGGTTGGGAGGAGACAATTCCTTTATTTTACCAACAAAGAAACAGGCCCATGGGCTGGGAGGCCTCAGGGACTTTCCCACTCTATTAGCCAGTTCCATCTTCATCACTTTCACCCCATCACTAAGTCTCTGGCAGGTCTTTGTGTCCCTCTGGCTTGGGTTCTCTAAGATTCTGCTCCCTAGCACCCCCACCTACTCACCAATTTCCTTTTTTTTTTTTTTTTGGTGTCTGAGGGCTGGGCCTGCCAAACTTTCCCTTTTATGGGTCCGTCTCTGCCCTCCTTCCCTAATCCCTTTTCTCATTCCCCTTCTCTGGGTCTGGGCCCTGCCCTGGTCTTGTCCAGCCTATCCCCACCCACTTTTCAGCTCCTTCTTTGGTTTCCCATTAGAATGTAAGCTGCTTGAAGGCTTTCTGATTGTATTTGGATCCCTAGCACTTGGCCCCATGCCTGTCTCTTACGCCAATAAATGCTTCTTGACATGACTATGTTCCTCAAGCTCCTGTTTCTTTACCTCCCTCTCATTTAGAATTCAGTAAACAATTATCAGGGGGTAGCTAGGTGGTGCAGTGGATAGAGTGCTGGGCCTGAATTCAAATGTGACCTGAGACACTAGCTTTGTAACCCTGGGTAAGTCACTTCACCCTGTTTGTCTCAGTTTCCTCATCTGTAAAATGAGCTGAAGAAAGAAATAGTAAATCACTCCAATATCTTTGCTGAGAAAACCCCAAATAGGGTCATGAAGAGTCAGTCACAATGAACAACAATTATCAAATGCCTGCTACAGTCAAGGTAGTTTACATTCTACCGAAATGACCAGTCCTCCTTAACCTTAGTGCCTTCCCTGTGAGATTATCTTTAATTTGCCCTATCTATCCATCCACCCACCCATCCACCCACCCATCCATCCATCCATCCATCCATCCATCCACCCATCCATCCTTCCATCCATCCTTCCGTCCATCCTTCCGTCCATCCACCCATCCATCCTTCCATCCATCCATCCATCCACCCATCCATCCATCCATCCATCCATCCGTCCACCCATCCTTCCGTCCATCCTTCCGTCCATCCACCCATCCATCCTTCCATCCATCCATCCATCCATCCATGCACCCATCCATCCATCCACCCACCCATCCATCCACCCATCCATCCATCCATCCATCCATCCATCCATCCTCCATCCATCCATCCATCCATCCATCACCATCCTTCCTCCATCCTTCCGTCCATCCACCCATCCATCCTTCCACCCATCCATCCATCCACCCATCCATCCATCCGTCCATCCATCCATCCGTCCATCCATCCATCCATCCTTCCATCCATCCATCCATCCACCCATCCTTCCGTCCATCCTTCCGTCCATCCACCCATCCATCCATCCATCCACCCATCCATCCATCCATCCTCCATCCATCCATCCATCCATCCATCCATCCACCCATCCATCCATCCATCCGTCCATCCATCCATCCATCCACCCATCCTTCCGTCCATCCTTCCATCCATCCACCCATCCATCCTTCCATCCATCCATCCATCCATCCATCCATCCATCCATCCTTCCATCCATCCTTCCGTCCATCCTTCCGTTCATCCTTCCGTCCATCCACCCATCCATCCTTCCATCCATCCATCCATCCATCCTTCCATCCATCCTTCCGTCCATCCTTCCGTCCATCCACCCATCCATCCTTCCATCCATCCATCCATCCACCCATCCATCCATCCATCCATCCATCCATCCATCCATCCATCCATCCATCCATCCGTCCACCCATCCTTCCGTCCATCCTTCCGTCCATCCACCCGTCCATCCTTCCATCCATCCATCCATCCATCCATCCATCCATCCATCCATCCATGCACCCATCCATCCATCCACCCACCCATCCATCCACCCATCCATCCATCCATCCATCCATCCATCCGTCCATCCATCCATCCATCCATCCATCCACCCATCCTTCCGTCCATCCTTCCATCCATCCACCCATCCATCCATCCACCCATCCATCCATCCATCCATCCATCCATCCATCCATCCGTCCATCCATCCGTCCATCCATCCATCCATCCATCCATCCACCCATCCATCCATCCACCCATCCATCCATCCACCCGTCCATCCATCCGTCCATCCATCCATCCATCCATCCATCCATCCACCCATCCACCCATCCATCTATCCCTTATCTACTCTGTAACGTATCTACTCATCCTTCATCTCTACTGTCTGTTTAGCATCTTTCTACCTATCCTCCATTTCCTGTATGCACATGCATATTGTTTTGATATTGTCTCCTCTCCTTAAGACTGTGAGCTCCTCCAGAGTAGGGACCATGATTTTGTTTTGCTTGTATTGTTGGTGCTTAGCATGATGCTGGGCACACAAGTAAGCTCTTAATAAATGCTTGTTATGGGGCAGCTAGATAGTGCAATTAATACAGCACCTGCCCTGGAGTCAGGAGGACGTGAGTTCAGATCCGGCCTCAGACACAGTTAACTCACTAGCTGTGTGACTCTGGGCAAGTCACTTAACCCCAATTGCCTTCACCCTCCAAAAAAAAAATGCTTGTTGACTGACTGACTGACCTACTGACCCAGGTGCTCACATTTCTCACATTGCCCACATGCTCCGGAGCTTCATTTCAGTTCTTCCCCCCTTACATGTACCCCAGCCCCATCACCAGCTCGTTCTCTGTGTCATCCCCAGTTAGTTGTCTGCCCAGTTTTTAACCTCATAGGACAATAGCTAACATTGATAAAGCATTTTAAAGTTTGCAAAGCATTTCACATAGGTTATCTCCTCAGGGCCTCACAACAACCCAGCTAGTATTCCCCCATTTTACAAATGAGGAAACTGAGGTGGAAGGTTGTGACTTCCCATGGATTACAAGGCTACTGACTAAAGCAGGAGTTGAATCCATGGCTCCTTCCAAGTCCAGGACTCTGCATCTGCTATGCCTCTTACCTAACTGCCGAGATCTTTAGTGACCTTAGAGGCTGTCTACTCCAACCCCCTTCATTTTACAGATGAGGAAACTGAGGCCCACCGAGGCTAAGTGATGAGGAAGTATATTTAAATCCTCTTTTTTAGTAAAACTTAATTTAAAAAAAAATGTCCCCTAAAGCCTTTTCCACATTGTAGGGAAAGAACAAAAAGGTTTTTCTTAGGGAAACTACAGTTAAGGGCAGTAAAAATTTAACTAAAAGCTTTTATCTAGATAAAGTCTCTAACTGGTTGCTTTGAGGCCAGGACCCACCTGAGGGTAAGTAGCTTGCTTTTGCATTCAAGGTTGATACTGACTTCCTGGAAGGAATTCTTTATGACCTTTAAGGGGAGTGGTCCAGGAAGGAACTGAGTGGTGAATGTTCTCAAACGCTGACCCCAGACAATATTTTAATCATTTTTAATTTTTTCCTTTTCTTTGTTCTTTCCTCGTTGTAATTGTCTTGGGGCCCAGAGTCTAGTTGGAGGGCATGCAACTTGGGGGAGGGGACAGTGCCAGTTTGGACATATCGCTGCCTGGGTATAGAAAAACATTAAATACAACTTTTTTCGAAAACCGGAGTTTAATGGCATAGTCCCATATCAGTATTAATTTTTTCTACAGTGATTTACCCAATGTCACACAGATCATATAGTACACCAGCATTTATTAAGTGCTTGTGCTACGTGCTGGGGGTGTGAAGAAGGGCAAAACCCAATTCTTGCTCTCAGGGAGCTCACAGTCTGATTTGGGAAGTTGCATGTAAATAAATACACACAAGAGTTGGACTGAGAAAATGGAAGGGGTAAAGCACTGCGGGGTGGGGAGGGGAGAAGAAGAAACAGCAGTAACAGTCTCCTGCACAAGATGGGTCTGGAGTTGAGTCTCAGGGAGAGCCGGGGGAATTCGAACACAGCTCTTATGCCTCCAGGGGAGCTAGGTGGCCAAGTGTAGTTGCGTGTAGGTATCCAGGTAGCTTTGTGACCTTAGACAAGTCACTTTACCTTGTTTGCCTCAGTTTCCTCATCTGTAACATGAGCTGGAGAAGGAAATGGAAAACCCCTCCAGTATCCTTACCAAGAAAACCCCAAGTGGGTTCACGAAGAGTCGGACAGGACTGAACAACAACAATTTATGACTCCAGGGACAATGCCACCAGGCTCCGTCTCTTTTGGTCTCGGTCCTTTGGATGGCCTGCCCCCTCACCCATCTCTCATAGTTTCCTTTCACCCCACCTCTCACTTCCTAATGTGGGATTCTGGGATTCTGGGATTCCCACCCCCTCCCATTTCTTGGTTTGTGGATTAGAATCCAGAACCAGTGGGCGGGTGCTCATTAACCGAAGGACTCGACTATAAAAGCATTCTCTGGTCACAGGGGCGGGGGCTGCCTTCAGCTCAGATAAAAGCACACGGGACTTCTTGGAAAGAGGACAAGAGGAAGAGAGAGACCTTCTCCTGCACCAGCCCTTCTCCTAGAGACAACCCCTCCTCAGGGACAGCTGGCCCCTCGTCTGCCTGTCCTGCCTCATTGTCTCTGCCTCTACGTCCCTCCCTCCGGTTAGGGGTACCATCCCTGCCTCTGGTACTCTTCGTCTGTCTTGCTCCATCAATTTCTGTGTCTGCATTTCTGAGCGTGAATGTGTCTGTTAAGCCACTTTTTCTGTGCTTCCCTTCAGACCTCCTCCACCCCAAGTAGACGTCTCTGCAGTTATGTTCATCCTGTTCTTCGCACTGCCTCTTCTGCAGGTCACTGGTAAGTGGTTCGGATGGCAAGGTGCCTGAGGCTGTAGAGGGGAGGCAGTGGTGGAGGGGTGGGGAGACACGAGGTGTGGCGTCCTTGCTGGGAAGAGAAGAAGCTGGCACATGTGGGGGGGGTAAGGGGAGGGGATGTTTGGAAAGGAATAAGCATTTAGATAATAATACTAGGTGCCAGATGATGCACTAGGTGTTTTGTTTGTTTTTTCAAACAAGTATTTCCTCATCTCCGAAATAACCCTCTGAGGCATCTGAAGAGATTATATGAATAGAACTGGGAGGGAGTGGGGGGATGATTTCAGTTGGGCAAACTGGGGGGAGGGGGCTGTATGAGAGGATGGTGTGGGGTGAAAGGAAGGTAAAGGAGCTGGTTGGTTCTAGGAGAAGGGATTGTGGGAGATCCTCTCAGATGGGGGCCATCAAAGATTACAAGAAGTGTTGAGTCTTCAAAGAGATTGTGCAGCCTTAGGAAGTCTCAGAAAGTAGATGAGTGGTACAGAGGGCCAGGAGAATGGTGGACCTCGAGGACATATGAGAGATGAGGGTGAGGACAGTTTTGTAGGAGTCTACAGATGGTGTGTGTGTGTGTGTGTTTTTGGGGTGGTGGTGGAATGCAAGACATTGAGAGATGGGAGACAATGAAGTTAAGTGATTATAATCCAGGACAAGTCCTATAAACCTCACCAGGCCTCAGTTTTCACCTCTTTAGGATGGGTTCACAAAAGGACTAAATTAGCTCATCTATAGAAAGCCCTCTTCAAATCAAAGTTACATTTAGTCATCAACCCTAGTTTAAGGGAAAGAGGTTATCAGGTCCACACATGCATGTGCAAGTGGACCAGAAGGAGAAGAGATTGGGGCTTCAGAGTTTGAGAGGGTTGCCTCCAATATCCACACATTCCTCCCTCCCCAGCCAGCACAGAGAGGAGCGAGGATAAGATCATTGGTGGTCAAGCATGTATTCCGCACTCCCAGCCCTGGCAGGCTGCGCTGTTCATCAATCAGAACTTCCACTGTGGGGGTGTCCTGCTGTCCAGTCGCTGGGTCCTCACGGCAGCTCACTGTAACCACTGGTGAGTGGACCCCCCCCCCGCCAGGCTAGCATCCAGCCTCCTGCCCCCACCAGACTAGAAATCAGGGTAGATCTGACCCCTCTCAGCCCAGGCTGTTCTGGGTCTAGGTCAAACTCAGTCCCGGGCTTGTATGAGAGCAAGATAGAAAAAACTGAGTATTGAGTGGGAAGAACTCTTGGGCTTGAGTCAGTAGATCTGTAGTCTGAATGTTGGTTCTTCTACTTGTTTGCTCTCTGGGCCTCAGTTTCCCCATCAGTCAGCTGAGAGGTTGGACTGGATTCTCTCTGAGCGCCCCTTTTGACTTAAGGTTCTCTATGGATTAGGGGTAAGGGAGACTGGGGAAGGGCTACATATGACACGGGGAGTGAAGGGTTGGTGGGGAGGGGCTTGGAAGTTGGGATTGGGAGGGGCAAATTGGAGTCGGTCTGAGCAGGCTCACCTTCCTACAAGGAACCTTCGAGTGGTCTTGGGAAAACATAATATCAAGCGCCTGGAGGCCTATCAGCAATCCTTCAAGGTGGAGCGCCGGGTACCCTACCCCACATACAACCCCAGGAACAGCGACAATGACCTCATGCTGCTCTACCTGCAGAAGCCAGTGAGGCTGACCCCCCAGGTTCGCCCCATTCAGCTGGCCAAAGACTGTGTCAATCCTGGCACAGCCTGCCTGGTGTCCGGCTGGGGTACCGTGTCGAGTCCGTTTGGTAAGGGCACCTAGGTCACACTTGTCTGGGTGGCTAAGGGGAGTCAAGGCTAAGTGTCTGATTAAAGAGACTGGGTCCTCGCCTCAGTTCCTAGGGCTGAGCTGGTCCCCCTCTCCCTCTCTGGCTATAGTCAGATATCCCAGTGCCCTCCAGTGCGTGAAGATTGGTATCATATCTGCAGAAGAATGCAAAAATGCTTACCAAAAATCCATCACTCCTGGCATGGTCTGTGCTGGGGTCGAGGAAGGTGGGAAGGACTCGTGCCAGGTGAGCCGCAGGCCCTGGGCTGATGGGGGTGGACCCTGGGAGGATCTTCCCAAAGTCCATTGGAAGTAGGGAGTGGACTGGGATAGAAAAATTCTTCCTGATGTCTCTAGTTGCCGAGATTGATGTCTGTCTCCTCTCTTTCTCTTGCCCATGTCTCTTTCTCTTGAATGCCTCTCCCTTGCTGCTTGCCCTTCTGCTCTGGTCTCTGTAGGGTGACTCTGGAGGCCCCTTGGTGTGCAATGGGGCCCTGCAGGGCTTGGTGTCTTGGGGCATGGAACGCTGTGCCCTGCCCAGGTTTCCCGGTGTTTACACCAACCTCTGCCGTTACCGGACCTGGATCCTAAAGGAAATGCAGAAGAATTGATGAGCTCCCCCCACACTCCCAGGAGGATTCCCCAGTTCAGCCTGTCCTCAGTCCTGCCCTCAGGGACAGGTGGCCCGAAACTACAGCCTTACATCCTACAAAGGATCCTCCCCCCTCCCCCAAGGACAGGACTCAGCCATCCTGACTTCCTAACCACTGACCTCTGGAGGACCCATCTCTAGTACGGATTTGGATTCATGGAAAGAGAATCAAAAGGATTTAGAGTTGGAAAGGACTTTAGACCCTGAAAGCGCAGGCTGGAAAGGACCTTTTAGTAAGACCCTATACTCGAATTTTTACAAATGGGGAAACTGAGGGTAAGCATGATCTCCTAATGTCACATAGCTAGGATGTAACAGTTCCAGACTGGTGTTCTTTCCCCGATCCTGGGGTCTGAAGGCAGATCTATCCCCAACCTCCCAGGTACTCTAGCCACTTTCATGAATCCACTGCCTTGCTCAGGTATCCAAAATAATAGGTAACTTAACAGGTCCCTCTTGGTCACCCCTCCCCAACAGTCTTAGATTAATAAAACCTATAGGACTTCCTTTGTGACTGGTATGTGCTGGTTTTTCCTTTGTAATTGGGACATCCTGTGTGATTGAGGGGGAGGGTAAGAAAGAATGGTGGGGAGGCAGGCTGGAAGAAGAGACAGCCTGGAGCCATGTGGTCTAGGACCTGGAGGAGTAGAAGTAAAGTGCTGACCCCCACCATATGCGGGGAGGACCCCCCCCCTGTTCTTTGCTAGCATCCTCATGGCCTCACTTCTGCATCATTGTCCCCAAATCTCCATCAGATTTTTCTCCTTATTGTCACCATCTTTGTCCTCCATCTCATCGTCCCATCACCATGGCTTCTGTGTGGCTGTCCCCACTTCCCCTCAGGTCCCTTAGTTTACTTCCTTATCCCTGTTCCCACAACCCCAGACATCCCATGGCATTTCCCAATGCCCCGTTGTCCCAATCACTATGCCTCCATGTCCTTGAGTCCTGAATATTGCTGTCCCTTTGCTCCCATGACCTCGTGGACCTCTCCCCATGGCACTGTTCCCTGGAACCTTCACGCTTAGGTAATAAGCTAGATCTCAGTTCTTGCTGCAGGTGCCCCACATTTTTAGAGGCTATGCTGGGACAGGTGGTGAGGAGAGGATATTTCCCCCAAAAACACTTTCTCTCTTCCTCTATATCCCAGTCTCTATTTCTGTTGCTGTCTCTCTCTCTGACTGTTTAATCTGGGTGTAGGTTTCTGGGTTTCTGTCCCTTCTTTGCCTTGGTGTCTGTCTCTTAGTAGCCGCTATGGAGATGCTGGCACACTGGGAAAGGCCTAGGATCCAGATTCCAGCTCTGGTCCCAGTTGCCTGGGGACCAAAGTCGCTGAGGCCTCTAGAACCCCTTCCGACTCCGAAACTGGGCTCCTTCCCGGTGTCTGCCTCTCCAAGTTTCTTGTGGGCCCCAGAGGCTGGGAGTGGGCAGACACCAACATCCCCTTACAGACCAGCCCTTCCAGTTCGGGTTCAGACAATGGGCCCCTAATTATCAGGGAAATTAAAGAGGCGTCATTAACTCCTTGGGGACAATGAGTGGGAAGGGCCTGGAGCTGCTTCTGGCTTTGAGCACTGGGGGCCCAGAAGTTCTGGGCTCTGCCTTTCCTCACCCTCACCATCTTCATCTGTCTAGTTTTAGCGGTGCCTGTCTATTTCTTTGGCTTTAGCCCTACCTCTCTGTTGGCCAGTCAGTCAGCTGGCATTTATTAAGCACTTAACATGTGCCAGGCAACCTACGAGGCTCTGGGATTGCAAAGTAAGGCAAAAACAGTCTGCCTTCAAGGTGCAAACAACCATGGATTTAAAAAACAAAACAAGGAGGTTTCAGACTCTTCATGTCCCTATTTGGGGTTTTCTTGGCAAAGATACAGAGGTTTGCCATCCTTCTCCAGTTCTTTTTACAGATGAGGAAACTGAGGCAAAAAGGGTGAAATGACTCACCCAGAGTCACATACCTAGTAACTGAGGTCACATTTGGACTCATGAAAATGAGCCTTCCAGATTCTAGTACCAGTGCTCTGTACACTATGGCGCCACCTAGCTGCCCGTGGAGGTGCTGCATGAGAATAGTCAGGGGGAAGGCTTTCCAGGCTTAGGGGACAGCCAGGGAAAATGCCCAGAGACCAGCCAGAGAGGCAGTGTCTTATTCATGGCACAGTCGGGTGGCTTGTGTGGCTGGATGGGGCGGAGTGAAGTGTAGGATATGAAGGGCTTTGAATAGGAGCCTCCAGAGTTTACTGAGTAGGGGGTGACATGGTTGTACCTGTGCTTTAGGAAAATCACTTTGGTAGAAGGATGGATGGGAGTGGTCAGGGACTCCCTCCAACAGCTGTTGCCAAAATGAGGCCATGAGAGCCTGCACCAAGGGGTGTTATGTTTGTCCTTCGTTCTCTAAGAGGACCATGACATCAAGAAGGCGTTGCCATGACGTGCAAGTGAATTGGATTTAAAGTGAGGCAGGGCTGCGCAAAGTCACCAGCCTCACTCTATCCTCTGGAGCCACCTGGGTCCAGTGGCCATATACAATTCAGGACACCTGCAGATGGCCTTTTCAAGCTAAGTCTTTCCCAGGTCTCAGTGGCTGGGTCCCTGCGGGAACCCTCTCCCTCTCTGTTCCACTGTCTCCATTTTTTATGACACTCCAATAGAATGGAAGGTCTTTGAGGGCAAGGATTATTTCCCTTATCTCTGTAGTGTCAGCACTAGGCCTTGTGCCTCTGGCCACTAATAAACATCTGAATGAGTGGTGGGTCACTCTCCAAATCTCTCCCTTTCACTCCGCAAACATTTACTGTGCACATGAGGCCACTAGGTGGCGCAGTGGTTAGAGCTCTGGATCTGGAGGCTGGAAGAGTTTAAATCCAGCCCCAACTCTCAGTAGCTTTGTGACCTTGAGAAAGTCACTTAAGGGCTGCCTGCCTCAGTTTCTTCCTCTGTAAAAAAGATGAGAAATGGCACAGTCCCTGCTCACAAGGAGTTTATAATCCATCATCACAGGGAGGATGGGGAAGGGGAAAGGACAGAAAAGATTCAAAGCACTTTGGAGAAAATGGGGATGTCAGGGAGCGTGTAGGGGAAGGATTCAGGAAGGCAGTGATGCCTGAGCTGCACTTGGAGAGAAGAGGAAGATTTCAACAGACAGAGGAGAAGGGATGCCTTCCCACCAATCAGGATCCTAGTATATGTCAGGCACTGTGCTGAGAGCTGGAGTCATCAAGTCCAAAGTGAAACATTGCTGACCTCAAGGAGCTTAACTCTATGGGGAGTTGGCATGCATACATATATTTGTAGATACTGGTAAGCATTTGTTAAGCACCTGCTATGAGCCAGGCACCATGCTCAACTCTATAAATATCTCATTTGATTCTCACAACCACCCTGGGAGGCAGATGCTGTCATTATCTCCATTTTACAGTTGAGGAAACTGAGGCAGACAGGTCAAGTAACTTACCCAAGACCACACAAGGTAGATGACTTTGAACAGCACCACCTCACATCCAATTCATGAGCAAGTTGATGGCATCAGTCCTTTTTGACAATGAAAAATGAACAAGAAGAGCAACTAGGAAGTATCTGATGCTGAATTTGAACTCAGATCTTTCTGACTCCAGTCCCATCTGCCTCCAGCACAAGATAGTTGGGGGAGGGGCACTAGCAGCTGGGAAGGATGTAGGATGATAATGGGGAGTGGAGGAGTCAATTTGGTTAGTGGCTGAGTAAAGGAAAGAGCAGAGATTAGAACCTTTCTCCCATTGGTGGGTTCTTTCTGAAACTTCCATTTTGGGGAAGGGCCCCAGAGCAGCCATTCTTCATCCTCAGGATTTAGCTCCCAGGTTCTGCAGAGGTACCTCTTCCACGCCCTTTCTGAGGTCTCCTTTAAGTGTTGTCTTTCTCCATTGGAACGTAAGCTTCTTGAGGGCAGGGACTACTTTTTTTTTTGCCTGTATTTGTATTTCTAGCACTTGACAAGTGCCTAGCACGTAGTAAGCACTTGGTGACTCACTTCTGATAAGTCGGGAGTGGCAGGTTGGAGCCAGACTGAATGCCAGGCTGAAGAGTTTTTATCAGAACAAGAGGGAGACTCTGGAGTGTTTTGCTCTGGGGAATGACATAGTGCATACCTTAAATCCCCCCACACTGACCCTTCTTTTTACCCTGATTTTCAACTGCTGCGATCCTTAGCCTTATATCCACCCCATACTAGACTGAATGCTGCTACATACCAATCTCATGCCAAGGATTGAGCCTTTCCTTATATACAATCGGATAAGAGTAGATATGACTTAATTGGTCTAGGGAATTCCTGACTACTTTCTCTGCAACTGCCAAGAGTGGTGAGAATTTAATGACTTTCCCACAAGGCTTGGCAGTATGTGTCAAAGGCAGGATCTGAACCCAGGTCTTCCTGGTTCCCAGGTAAGTTCTGTCTAACATAGCACACTTACCCCTGTACAGAGTCCTGTACATTGGATAAATGGACTTGAAGTGTAGCTGGCCACTATTTCTGCCCACTAGGGGGTGCCAAGTTCCTCTAAGACCCAGACAAACTCTGGTCCTACGTCCTTCTCAGCTAAATTCCAGAATCCTAGCACTGGAAGGTTCCTGAGAGGGCATCTGTACCAATTCATCCCTGAACAGGAATCCTCTCTCCACAACTTTTCTCACTTCAGGTCCATTCAAAGGCTTACCCTAAACCATTACCACTAACCCCAAGTCCGTTTTCAGCCCTAAACTCATTCTCAAAGATCTCATTCCTATTCCTGACTTTTCCTAAGCTATGCCCAATCAAGCCTTTAAAAGATTAGACTTGGCAAACTCTCCTAGCCCATAGTCACCCCTTTCCTTACCCCCTCCAAGTAGACATTGGGGAATACCAGGAAAGTCCTTGAGGAAGAGAGAGGCGCAGTTGTAAACTGGCATGAGAAAGCAGCTGATACGGGATGTGGGCAAGGCAGAAAAGAGGTGATGGAGGGCATGGGAAGGGAGGAGGAGGAAGCCGGAAAGGGTTGGGGAGGGGGAAGAAGGAAGAGGCGGCGGTTTTAGGGAACAGTGGGTGGCTCTGGGGAAAGGGGCTGGGTGGAGTTTGGAGTTCAAATGTGGGGGTGGATGAGGCAGGGTTAGGGTTAGGTAGGCTGAGGTCAGGGCTCAGGTTAGGGGCAGCACCAGGGGCAGCACCAGGGGTGGGACAGGTATAGGGTGACGGTGGAGTGTGGGATTATGGTGTTGGAGTTGCTTGGGGTTGGAGAAAAGGTTAGAATTAGAGTGAGTTGGGATAAATTGAAGGTTGGATTAGGTTCTGTTTGAAGTCAATATTGGATTTGGGGTTAAATTTTGAGTCAATATTGCAGTTAGGGTCAGTGATGGGTATGAAACTTAACTTAGGGATAGGGTTAAGATCCCTATGAGATCCAGGTTACTTTGGGTTGTATGTGGGGGATGTGCATGGGAAGTAGGGATGAAGTTGAGATTGGCAGATGGGACAGTCCTGGATATGGAGCTAGGTATTGAGTTGGGATTGAGAATAGTAAGGAGGATGGCACTGGGTTTGAAATTAGAAAAGAAGATGGGAATGGGGATGGAGTTGGAAATTGAAACAGGATTTGAGCATGAGTTGGTGTTTGTAATGGGAAAGAAGTTATGAGTATGGGATTAGGAGTATGAATGTGAGTGGAGTGGGGATATGTAGTGGGTTCCCTATCCTTCAGATTTCCCCCCTGGATCAGATCCTGGGGTTCACCCAGCCCAAGGGGCCCTCAGGCTGAGGCAGGGCTCAGAACTGGATCCCAGCAAGGCTAGGAAACTCCACCCCATAGGGTGCCCAGCCCAGTCCAGCCTGGGGGCCCTAGATGGGGCTGTCAATATGGGGATTAGTGACGGGGTGGAGGGGGAGGACAAGGATAAGGAAGAAGTTGCAAGCTCAGGGGGAGGGAAGTCATGGGTTAAAAGCTTCAGGACAAGGTGGACCTCAAAGGAGACTGGAGCTAGAAGGAGAACGAGGGGTCCCTAAGGTACTGGGGGCTGTGAGGGGCCTTGGGAGGGGTTGAAGAGAAGGGAGAAAAGAGAGGAGAGGGAAACAGAGGGAAGAGGAGAGGAGGGGAGAGAGGAAAGAGAAAAGAAGAGAGGGAGAGGAAAGAGGAGAAAGGAAGAGAGAAGAGGACAATAACAAGAGGCCAGTAAAGGAGGAGAAGGGAGAGGAGAGAAGATAGAAAGGCAGGACCTAGGGGAAGAGAAGAGGAATGGAAAGGAGAGAAGAGGAGAGGAAGAAGCAGAAGAAATTGGAGGAATAGGAAGTTGTTTTGAGAGAATGAAGAGGACTCAAGGAAGAAGAGGTGACAAACGGGGGCAGGAAAAGGCAAAGGGAGGAGAAGGCAAAATGGAGAGAGAGGGGAAAGAGAGACAAGGGGGTGGGATAGTGGGACTAAAAAGGTGACTCAGCCTGGCTGGGGAGGGATAAGGAGAGAATGGATGCAATGCAGTGCTCTTGAGACCAGCAGGAGCAAGCATTTCATGTAGCTGGGGAGGGAAAGGAGTTGGGGTGATGGGAGCAAGGTGGGAGGGATCCAAAAACAGATGGGTGGGTCAAGCAGGGGTTCTGGGGCTTCCTGCTCTAATATTCTAAGAAGAGGAGCTGGGAATGGCAGGCAGCTGAGTCCCCCCCACCGCCTTCATCCTCCTCTTCCCCTGCCTCCAGTGCCAACAGCGCCACCCTGGCCCAGCTTCCACCCCTCAGTGCCATGTGGCTGCTGCTTCTGGCCCTGGTTCTGGTCTTGTCACACGGTAAGAATGCAGCAAGGGCAAGGTCAATTCAGGTCCCATGGGGCCAGGCCTGGGAGGGGGTGTGGGAATTAGGACCTCTGGCCCCATTTCCCCTTTGCTGCCCCAGGAGCTACTAGAACAGGGAGGAGAGGGGCGGGTGCCGGTTGAAGGTACTCCAGCTCTCAGTGTCACCTGGTTTCTCCCCACCCCACGTAGCTCCAGGTTCTGCATGTGCCCTTCTCCTGTCCCCCTGGTCCTTACTTGATCTCTTACTCTGGTCTCAGCCCCTAGGGCCCCCTCTCAACTCCAACTGTCCTTCTGCCACCCTGTCAAATTCCCCCTTAATACTGCAAGCCTTACACTCACTCTCTAAACCCTTTCCTTTCCATACCCCTCCATCCCTTAGGCTACAGCCTCATAACTCCTGGACCCTCAAACACTCCTTGGTCTGATCCTCTAGGATCCCCTGTTATCCCTCCAGACCTTTTATCCCCCATCTCCTGGAATTTACAGAACTGCTCAGCTCTCACCCATCCATCAAGACTTCCCCTTTCACCTAAGAAAATCTAACTTTTCAGAGTTTTCTCCTTTGATCCCACAAATCCTCCCTCTTCAAGAGAGCAAGAGCATGATTGAGGGGAGGGCAGATTAGAGGAGGGGGTAATCAGAAGCAGATACTTCTAAGGAGGGACAGGGTCAAAAGACAGAATAGAATAAATGGAGGGTGGGATAGGACTAAGGGAAATATACTTAGTTTTTCACAACATGCCTACTATGGATGTGTTTTGCGTGACTACACATGTATAACCTGTATCGAGTTGCTTGCCTTTGCAGTGAGGGTGGGTGGGGAGGGAGGAAGGGAGAAAATTTGGAATCCAAAGTTTTAAAAACAAATGTTTAAAAAAAATTGTTTTCACATGCAACTGGGAAATAAGAAATACAGGAAATGGGGTATAGAAATCTATCCTGCCCTACAGGAAAATAGAAGGGGAAGGGGATAAGGGGAGGGGGGTGGTACAAGGGAGGGCAGATTAGGGGAAGGGGTATTCAGAATGCATGCCATCTTGGGGTGGGTGGAGGGATGAGATGAGGAGAAAATTTGGAACTCAAAACCTTGTGGAAGTGAATGTTGAAAACTAAAAAACAAATAAATTAATCAAATCCTCCCCCTGCTGAGCCCCACTCTACTCCACTGATCTAATCTATCTCCTTTTGATTCCCAGGCTCTCCCTCCCTTCCTGACACCTCCCCCTAAAACTCAGATTCCATTCAGACCTTCCTCTTCTGACACCTTGATGATATATCATTGAATTCCAGACTTTCCCTTTCTAACCTTCTGTTCCTTCCCCCAACCCCTAAACTCTCTCCTGCCCCTACCCTTAAAATGTATAAAGAATTTATTAATCACCTGCTGTATGCAAGATGCCATTAATCCTCCCCAGACCCCAAGATCCCTCTTCTTCTGACCCTACTGATGATCCCTTTATGAACCATCCCTCCCCCAACAAGACTTTGTCCAGAGGGATCTCTGGCCCCTAGATCTTTCTCTTCTTCCCCTCTCGTCTTTGTCCACTGCCCCCTCCATCTTTGATCTATCCCTGACTGCTGTCTCCCTTGCTTCCCAGCCATCTCCCAGGAACTTCCCAAGATTATCAACAGCTCTAATGGTGGCCAGGATGCCCTCCCTGGAGTCAGGGAATGCGCCCCCCATTCCCAGCCCTGGCAGGCTGCTCTGCTTGTGAATCGACGGCTGCTCTGTGGGGGCATCCTTATCCACCCCAGCTGGGTGCTGACTGCAGCTCATTGCCTGAAGGAGTATGTGCCATGTGGCTGGGGCTGGCGATGGGTTTAGGGATAACCATGGGATTGGGAATAAGGCACAGATGAAGATAGGGATCAGTATAGGGATGGAATAGGAATAATATAGGGATGAATATAGGGTTGGGGATGCTAATGGGGAAGGGATAAAAAAGGGAATGGGTTGGGAATCAGGATGGGGTTGGCACGGGATGGGGATGAAGAATTGGTTGGACTTGCCTCATGAATTACCTCCCTATTGTCTACAGCCAGTACATGGTGCACCTGGGTAAACACGCCCTGGGTCACTGGGAGGAAGGAGAGCAAGCCGAAAGGGTCATCCGCTCTATCCCGCACCCATTGTACCGGGTCAGCCCAACCCACCACAACCATGATCACGATATCATGCTCCTGTACCTTCAGAAGCCAGCCCAGCTGAATGACCATGTCCAGATCCTCCCCTTGCCCTCCCAAGATTGTCTGCCTCCTGGCACCCACTGTTAGTGTCAGGCTGGGGCACCACCACGAGCCCTCAGGGTATGCTTTCCTCCCATGGCTGACCAACTCATAAAGGGTTAAAGATATCAAAATGTGGGGCAAGGAACAGGGATTAAGTCTTGGCTATATAATGGCATCCCTTTATTCATCCCCCTGTAGCCAACTCACTTCCCCCTCTATCCTTGTCTCTTTTCATCACTACCTCTGTCTCAACCTTCCGCTGTCTCCTCCATTATTCCCATCTCTCCTAGACTTCTCCTTCCCATTTTCTTAACCTTCCCAGTTCCTGCCATCTCTCTCCATCCCTGCCAGTTTAGATAAATCTCTCTCCATCTTGTCCATATCTTCACACTTTCTATTTCTTCCTATCTGCATCTCACTTCCATCAATCTTCCCACTTCCTCTCCATCTTTCCTCATCCCCAACTTCTCCATATCTCCCTTATCACTCCTTAATAAAAATCTTTGTCAGCTATTTCCAAGTCCCCTCTCTTTCGTCTCCGTCTCTCACCAATTTCTGTCCATCAACTTCATCGTTCTCCCATTATTTCCACCTCCCCCCATCTTGCTCCATCTCTCTCCATTTCTCCCCCAAACCTTTCTATTTTCTGCTATCTCTTCCATCTCTCTGTGGTTTCCCCAAATCTTCTCATGTATTCTTTTCCAGCTCTCTCCAACACCCTTTCTCTTCCCTATATTTGCCTTTCCTCTTCATCTCTTCCTAATATCTCCCCAGCTTCTACTTGTCCCCATCTCCCTTATCTCCCTCCATTCTCTCACTATATGCCCCATCTTCCATCTAAGCCAATTCTCTTAAACATTTCATTTCCCCATTTCCTCCACCTCCCCATCTCTCTCACCTTTCCACATATTCCCAATATCTTTCTGCCCCCCTCCATCTATCCCTGATATCCAAATCTCTCTCCATCTTCACTTCTTTCCCAAAGTTCTCCCCATCGCTCCCATTTTCTCTCATCTTCTTTCCGTCTCTTCTTATTTCTCATCATTTCTCTCTATCTTCTTTTATTTCCCCATCTCCTTACCTGCCCCTAGTATCCCTCCTTCCTTCAGCTTTCCTGTCTCCTTTCATCTACATCATATCTCTAACCCCCTTCTATTTCCCCCTTCACCATCTCTCTCAGGCTTTCTCTATATCCCCATCCTCTTTGTATCCCAATTTTCCTTATCAAATTCCTTCTCTCCCACCTCCCTTTATCTTTCATTTCCTTTCATCTCTCTCACTATCTCCCATTTCTCATTTTTTCCCATCTCCCATTTAACCTCTATCTCTCCCTATTTCTCCCCATCTCTCTCTACCTCCTGTTTCCATTTCCCACATCACTCCAATATCTAACAATGATTCATCTCTCTTCATGCCTTCCATTTCCCTCTATCTCTCCCTTCTAGGTAAGGGACATGAGAGTTTTCTTCAAGGATTTTAAAGTCTACCTGCTTGGAGAAGACTTTGGCTTATTCTTCTTGGCCTCAGACAGCAGAATTAGATGCAATGGGTAGAAGCTGCAAAGAGCTGGTTTCAACTTGATATAAGGAAAACTTCTCGATAACAGGAACTGTCTAAACATGGAATAGGCAGCCTCAGGAGGTAGTGGGTCCCTCTTCCCTGGAGGTCTGTAACCAAAGACTGGGTGCCAATTTGTTGGGTAGGTTGTAGAGAAGATTCTTGCCTGGGTACAAGTTAGACTAGATGGTCTCTTTCTAATGGTAACTTCTATCACATCTCCCCCATGTCCCTACCTCCCCATCTTTCTACATCTCCATATCACTATATTTCTCTTTCTTCTATTTCCTCATGTTTTTGTCTTTCTTCATTTCCTTACATCCCCTTCCCCTCCATCTCTTCTTGTCATTTTTTTTTAAATTAGGCAATTGGAGTTAAGTGACTTGCCAGGGTCACACAGCTAGTAAGTGTAAAGTGTTTGGTCTGAGGCTGGATTTGAACTTTGGTCCTCCTGACTTCAGGGCTGGTGCTCTATTCACTGTGCCCTCTAGCTGCCCCTTCCCCTCCATCTCTTCTCATTCCCTCCCACATCCTATATCTCTCCATCTGCCTCATCTTTCTTCTATCCATGTGTCTTCTTACCTCCACCCATCTCTTCTATTTGTCCTACCTCCCTAAACCTCCTGCCCTTTCTTATCTTTTCACTCCTCTTCTCTCCCTCCCTGTTCCTTATTCTTTCCCCCTCACCACTTCATCATATTTCCTATCTCTTCCATCTATAGCCTTTTCTCTTCTCTTCCCTCTCCCTAGCTTTCCACCCCATGACAGGTCAGGAAATGCAGCCCTCACTCTTCTTATCTCCCTACAGTGAGTTACCCCAAAACCCTCCAGTGTGCTGAAATTCAACTTCGCTCAGATGAGGAATGTCATCAGAACTACCCCGGGAAGATTACGCCCAACATGCTGTGTGCTGGATCTGAAGAAGGTGGCAAAGACTCTTGTGAGGTGAGATAGAGCCATGAAAAAAGCAGGCACAGAGACACAGAGGGCAGAAAGACAGAAAGACGTGGGAAGTTCATGAATTGTGTTTCTCATAGAACAGAACATTAGAGCCAGAATGGGCTTCAGAAGAGATTTTATGCAACCCTCTCATAGTACAGATGGGGACATTGAAGTTTTGCTATGTGAAATGACTATCCCCTGTCCCAGGTCACATTGGTGGTGAGTGGAAGAGTTCTTTTCCTGCTTCACATTTAAGAGAGAGAAGGCGAATGGACACAGATAGTTAAAGAGATAGAGAAGAGAGGCATGAAAGATAGAGAAAAGGAAATGCAAAATAGACACAGAGGAAAGACAGAATGATAATCATGCAAACACAGAGATTTACATGCAACTAGACACGGAAAGACACAGAAACATTTACGGAGCCAGAGAAGAGGATGAGATAGAAAGACAGAGAAAAGAGAGAGACACAGAGACAAAGAGACATCCATTTGGATACAGGGAAAAGAGAGACAAAATTAGGCAGTCATGGAGGCAAAGACTGAGAATTTCAGAGAAATAGGCACAACTTTCGGGAAAGACATAAATACACAAAGAAGGATAGTGGAGGCAGAAGAGAAGAAGAGGAGGGACAGAAGACAGTGGAGAGATAGAGAGCAAGCCAGGACAAAGAGAAAAGAACATGAGGGTTGCAGATAGAAATAGAAAGCACACGGATGGATAAAAAAACACTAAAGGAGAATGAGACAAAGACATGCAAAGAAATACAAGGAAAGACCCCGTTCCTGAGAGGTGGCCAGAGAAATAGAGACAGAGATAGAAGAGATGCGGAGAGACGAAAGGAAATAGAGAATGAGAGGCAGCACTATGGAGAGAAAGCAAAGAGAGGATAGTACAGATAAAGAACGATAATTATACAAAACACTGGGATTTCTAGAAGGTTTACTTCCTTCCAGTATTTGAGCTGAGAATGAGGCATAGAAAGAATTCCCAAGACAAAGAAAGAGAAACACAGAGACATGGGGAAAAAAAGAAGACAAAGAGATCTCGAAATAAAGATGAAAAACACTGAAAGAAGAGAGATGGAAGGACACATGGAGAGACAGAGATGGATAAAGAGAGGGAAGGAGGGAGAAACAGACAGATGGATGGAGACAGAGAAAGAGAGAGACAGAGAGGAAGAATGGGAGAGAGACAGAAAAGGAGATAGACACAGGAAGAAGAGAGAGGAAGGAGAGGAGAGGAAAGAGAAGAGGAGAGAGAGAGAGAGAGAGAGAGAGAGAGAGAGAGAGAGAGAGAGAGAGAGAAGGAGGGGGATGAAGAGAGGGAGGAAGGGAGAGATGGAAAGAGGGAGACAGAGTGTAAAAGAGAGAGAGAGAAGGAGGGGGATGAAGGGAGGGAGGAAGGGAGAAATGGAAAGTGGGAGACAGAGTGTGAAAGAAGGGGAGGAGAGAGAGAGAGACCATCTGCAAAATATGAAAGGGGCGTAGGTCCAAATTTTGCCCTCACCTAGTACTCACCTCCCATTTCTTCTATAGCCCTGATCCTGGAGTCTCTGGGAATAGCCCTACAGGATCTATTCCTTTCTCTGGTACTCTTCTTTCCAGTTAGCACCGGTATGCAGCCTGTCCTGTTGTATAAGTGGCTTAATAGATAAGGAACTGGCCTTGGCATCAAGAAAAACAGGAACTAACAAACCCTATCTCAGACAGCAGGCATGTGATGCTGGCCAAATTACTTAACCTCTAGGTGCCTCAGTTTCCTCATCTGAACTAAATGAAGGGGATGGAACCAGTGGACTGTTAAAATCCCTTCCAGCTCTAAACGGATGTTAGTATAATGCATGTCCCTTGGTAGACCAAAGCCAGAGGTAGTTGTCTGTTTTGTCTTCTTTTTTTCTTTTTTGTTAGGCTATCCTTATCCTCAACTTGACCTCCCACCCAACCCTTGGGAAAATAAAAAGAAAAAAAGAGCACATCCTTTGTAACAAATATGCAGAGTCAAGCAAATCCCCACATTGCCTCCATCCCCAAAATATATGTTTCATCCTGTGACTTCAAAAATGAATTTTCCAAAAGGATTCCAGTCAATCAATCAACACTTATTAAGTGCCTACTATGGAGCAGGCACTGGCTAAGTGCAAGGGCTACACAAAGAGGCAAAAGATAGCCCCTGCCCTCAAGGAGTTTATAATCATTCCAGGTAGTTTTATGAAAAAGAGTAAAAATAGGAAGGTTCTATGTTAATGTAGATTATTGAAATTATGGTGCCCTGGTGCCTTTCAGATCATAAGATTTAAAAATACTTTAGGAAACATCTTGTTGAATCTGTTTTATAGTGTGGAAAATGAGCCCAAAGTTTTAAGTGACTGGCCTGAGGTCATGAAGGAAATAAGGAACAGAGCCAAAATTCAGGCTTAGGTCTTTTGAGTCCAAAAAAGAGCCCTTTTCATTAAACCATACTCACATCTCCTTTCATCTGGCTTGATCACTTGGTCCAAGTTCCATGACCCTCCAGACCCCCATCCCCCACTTCCCAGGGCTGTCATTTGGGGCCTTCGGCATTAGGAGTCGCCATTTTTGTTTGTAATCATTCTTCTGAAGGGGCTCCTCCAACATCCCTTTGAACCAAAGAATACTCGCCATGGGTATATCTACTCACCATCTTCCCTGGAAGAGCAGATGGCCAGAGTGCAGGGTGCAGAGCAGTGGCCTTTCTACTGATGGTATTCCGCCAGAAGGGAGCCACATCAGTCTAGATTTCTTCATCTACCCCTCTAGAGTGATTGGTACAGTGCTGAAGTCATGATGGAAACACAAAACACTATGTGTAGGTATTGACTATATGTTGACACAGCAAGGGTGGTTTCTTTATAGACACTAGGGGATCAAGGAAATGGAGAGAGGGCATATGAGATGAAGCACAGGAAAAAGGAGAGTGTCAGGCAGCTCACAGGGGCTCTGGGACCACTCTGCCCCTTCCCTGTAGGTCTCTGCCTGAATGTCTCCTCCACTCCTGACTCTACTTTTCCCTGCCTTTGTCTCTGTCAGCCTCTTTCTGCATGCATCTCTCTCTTCTTCTCTTCCTATTATTATCTCTGTGCTTTTTCCTCCATTTTTGAATCTCTGCCAGAATTTCCTTGATTCAAGATTTTGTTGTTCAGTTGCTGCAGTCATGTCTGACCCTTTGTTCCTTTTTTTTCCCTTTTGGTTAGGCAGTTGGGGTTAAGTGACTTGCCCAAGGTCACACAGCTAGTAAGTGTCAAGTGTCTGAGGCCAGATTTGAACTCAGTTCCTCCTGCCTCTAAGGCTGGAGCTCTATCCACTGAGCCACCTAGCTGTCCCCATGACTGACCCTTTTTGACCCCATTTGGGGTTTTCTTGACAAAGATGCTGGAATGCTTTGCCATTTCCTTCTTCAGCTCATTTTACAGATGAGGAAACTGAGGTAAATAAGGTCAAGTGACTTGCCTAGGGTCACACAGTTAGTAAGCGTCTGAGGATGGATTTGAACTCAGAAAAAAGAATGATCTTGACTCTATGTCTGGTGCTCTGTGAACTATGGCACCACCTAGCTGGCCTTGATTCAAGATACCTCCCTTTAATTCCTTCTACCTTTCTTTTGCCCTTTCTGTGTATATTGCTGCCTCTGTTCCTACCACTCTCTCTTTCTCTCTGTCTTTCTCCCTGGGCTGGATGTGATTTTGTCACTGAATTTGTCTCTTCCTGTCTTTCCAGGGTGACTCAGGGGGCCCACTGGTCTGTAACGGCACTTTGCAGGGTGTGATCTCCTGGGGGGACTTCCCATGTGGCCAGCCCAACCGGCCAGGTGTCTACACTCGTGTCTCCCGTTATGTGGACTGGATAGGGAATACAATCCAGGCGGGGGATCCCCGGAGGAAGAAGGGGGCAGAATAAAGTCATTGTCTTGAGATCGGCTGAGCAGCCTCATTCCTCCCACAAACTCTGCCTGCCTTTCCCTAGCAGTTCTGTGATAGTCAAGCATCCTGGGCCTCTCAGAGACAATGTTCTGGATTGTTCTGGATCTGTTCCAGGCCTTTCAAAAATTCTGGTGTTCTGGATTTATTCCTGACTATCCAAAAGCAGAGGACAATTTTCTGTGTCCATCCATGAGATGGACCCTCGAGAGGGAATCTTTCCTGCCTATTCCTGACATTCTAGGCCCCTCAAATCTCATCGTCTCTGATCCCAACATCCTGAACCCCTAAGATTCTCCATTTACATCAACCACCGTGCAACAACTCTGGCTCTGTGCCAAGAGCTGGGGCAGAGGCAGAATTTAGCCAAGAGATGACCCCTGCCCTCATGGAGCTCAAGGTTTAGTGGGGAGGAGGGGAAGGGAGGGGAAGGGAGGGACAAGACCCAAGGGCAGAGTTTGAATCCTGCCTCAAACACTAACTGGCACATCTGTACAATGGGGATAATAATAGTTCTTATCTCTGAGGATTTTTATGCAGATCAAATGAGAAAATCTATGTAAAAGTGCTTTACAAACCATAAAACACTGTATAGATGCTATTCTTCTCCCTCATTATTATTATGGAGGCAGAAAGCAAGGACTTTGTGAGTTCCATCAAGGGAAAGATGGTTCTAGCTCAAGAGTGGTTGAGGAAACTTCCTGGAGAGGTGTGTGGGAATCAAACAGGGATCAGGGGGGCAGGACAGTCCAGGCACAGGCAACAGCCTGAGAAGAGGCTTGGAGGCAGGAATTTGTGTGAAGGGGGCAGAGAGTGGACCAGTCCAAATGGAATCGAGCCATCTGGGATCATGGTGCTAGGGCTGGAAAGGTCCTCAGAGGTCATCTCATTTACAGGGGAGGAAACTGAGGTCCAAGGATGTTAGCTGACTCGCCTAAGGTCACACAGGTCACTAGTAAGTGATAGAGGTGGGATTTGAATCCAGGTCTTCAGATTCTAAATTCATTACTCATTCTATTCTGAATGATGTACATGTGGAGAAAGGATATGATACAAGGCTTTGTATCCAAAGGTTTTGGGGGGTGGTGACATTGAATTGTTGAGGGCCTTGAATGCCAGGCAAAGGAGATGGGCTTTACTTGAAAAACAATAGTGGATTTGGAGCATGGGCATAGAAGGAAGAGGTGTGTGTTTTCTCCTTTATCCTATAGTCCCTCAATGTTATTTCTCAGGCTTGCAAATCCCAAACTAGTTAGTGAGGTACTCAAATTATCACTCACAAGATTCCAAGGCATGACTGATCCCATAGAACATTAACAGTACCAGGTACATAGAATGATAGGAATGTGGAATGTCAGAGCTAGAAGAAATGTCAGAGCAGAGAACACAGAATGTCAGAACTGGATGTGACATTAGAATGTGGTGTTAGATCTGGAAGGTCCTGTAGGACACAGGACATCAGAACTGGCAGGGCCCTGAGAACAGGGACTGTCAGGGCTGGGAGGGCCATGAGAACAGAGAATGTCAGAGCTGGGAGGGCCGTGAGAACAGAGAATGTCAGAGCTGGGAGGGCTGTGAGAACAGAGAATGTCAGAGCGGGGGAGGGGGGGGCCTTAGAACAGGGAATGTCAGAGCTGGGAGTGGTCTTAAAACAGAAAGTCAGTGCAAAGAGGACCCTAGAACACAGGATGTCAGAGTTTAAAAGTCCCTTAGACATTATCTAATCCAACCTTTTATTTTTCAGGGGAATTAACTTAGGTCCAAAGAGGAAAAGGGACTTGTCTCAGATTCACAGAAATGAGTAAAGCACAGTCTTGACCGCAGCATTCTGAACTCCCAATTCTGAGCTCTTCCCCTCTCCCACTTTCCTCCATGATATTGGATCTCTCTTATCTAGAGTTTCTGGGTCTGGTTCAGTTTTTATTTATTTTCCTCCTTAATTCCTTGATAAAATGCATGGCTCTAGCTGTGTATTTGTTGACTTAATAAAAGAGGCTTTTCTGACATGGAACCAAAATCGCAAACTTCCAAAGGTGGACATTCCTACCCACGTTGGAGTAGAAATCTCTTCTGCAATGTCCTGACAAGTAACCACCCAGACTCTCCTGGAAGATTTCTGACTGGAATGGGGAGAGATGGGAAGCTGGGAGACCAGCCAGAAAGCTATTGTAATAGCTCAGTCAATGCCACCACTGGGAATGATGTAATGAAGGCCTGTACCAATATGGTGGCAGCGTCAGAGAGGAGATGATAACAAGGTACAAAGGAGAAGATTTGGCAACTGGTTGGATGGGTGATATGAGAGAGAGAGAGTGAGGAGTTGAGGTTGATACCAGGGTTGAAACTGCTATTTAATTTGAATTCTTGATATAGGTCTGTGGGGGGAACCCTGATGATTTCTGGAAGAGAGAGGTCCAAGAAGGAGGGGGTTCGAGACACGGTTTTCAGTTCTGGAATATTAACCCAAACTTCATTCTGTGATATCTTTTCCTTCTTCAAGATTTTTATGCTACCTGGAATCTTCTTGGGACAGAGGGCATTTCACTGAACCTTCTTTATTCTGTTGGAGGGAAAATAGATACTCGTGCCATGGTCTGATCTAGGATCAAGGAGACTCAAGACTTTGAGGCTAAGCCTGGATACATGTAGTTATGGCAAGCAAAGAACATAGCAGTAAGGTATAACAGCAGCAGTGAGGATTTACAGCAACAATGTGGCTAGTTTGTGTAAAGACAAAAATATATTTATAGCAGGGCTTCAGGACTGGGACATGGCTCCTGTACGTGCTTGTTCTGAGCTCAGGGACCACCAGTTCTGTGATATAGCTGCAGCAGAGTTCATTCAGAGCAGGAGCATAAAAGACTGTTGTTATGCCAAGCTCAAGGCACAGATTGCTTGCTTAGCCCTGGGAAACAGGGTCTCTCCTAATAATAAAAAAAGAGAGGATCAAAAAGAGGGATGGTCTTGGGAGAGGATCCTGACAAAGCTATACCCTGAATCTGGGTAGCACAGTACCTTGTCCATCACCGGAGCCATGTTCTGAGTCAAACTTTAGAAAGACCTCCAGAAAAAGAAAGGACATTGAGGCCCTGCAGCGCTGGAGTTATGAGCTTTCTTCGACAAGTATATTCCCTGCATATGTGCCTCATTGTGTAATATTACATTACATTAGCATTTTCAATTAATTCTCACTCTACCCTCACGAACGCTCAGCGTATTTGCGGGAAAGTGCAAACCTGATTTTGATAGAAATGCTTTGTAACTAATGCTTTTGACACCATTTGACTAAATAAATGCCTTCGGCCTAAAAAAAAAATCAACTAAGTCTACTGGCTAATTGTTAATGGGAAGTACACCAATGGGGGCTTTTATGTCAATGCTCTGTTACTTTCCCTACTTCCATTTCCTTACATGTCTTGCATTTACACACCCTAATCGTTTCCTCATTGACAGTAGCAGGAAGAAGCCAGAGGAAACCAATGACCAGAGGGCTCTGTGTGGGCTTCAGCTGGCAGGAGAGAGTTAGGGAAGGAAATGGAGGGGAGGAGCTAAGAGTCAAGTCCTCATCGGGAAACAATAGTATCCTGGACAACTGCCATTTCCAAGATGCTTCCCATACAGAAACTCTGTGAAGAAGGTCGTGGGAGTGATGTTATGCCCATTTAACAGATGAGGAAATTGAGTACCAGAGAGGCAATGTGGCTTGTCCAATGTCATACAGGTGGTAGACAGTGGGGCTGGGCTTCAAGCCCACGTCTGACCAAATGTAAGCTCTTAAAGCACACAAGTGCCTTTATGGTCTGTCTATCCCCAGTCCCTAGCACAATGCCTTATGATTTTTTAAAAATGAAAGTTGTAATTTTCATCAAAGTAAAGAATTCCTGTGAGAACTTTTTCTACCAGTCCAGACTGGCAGCTTCCCTGCTATTCATGGCCTCAGAGAACTGTCTTTGGACAATGGAAGGTTGAGCATTCTGCCCAGTGTGGATCAGAGACCAGTGGAGAGCCCAAGTCTTCCTCACTCTAAGGCTGGACCTATTTCCACTCTATTTTGTTTTTTGTTTTTTGTTTTTAGGCAATTGGGGTTAAGTGACTTGCCCAGGGTCACACAGCTAGTAAGTGTCGATTGTTTGGTCTGAGGCCGATTTGAACTCAGGTCCTCCTGACTTCAAGGCCGGTGCTCTAGCTGCCCCTTTCCACTCTCCCATAATGTTTCTCGGGCAAATAAATGCCCACTCAATGGAAATGGTTCTTTTGCCTCCAAGCCTCAGACTCTTTCCAAATGGTTCTGGCACAAGAGCGGGACAGATGTGTTTTAGGGGCTGCAAGTCAGAACGAAAGGCAATTTTATCTCCATTTCAGCAAAACACTTGGCAAAATGTCCCATGACGTCCTTATTGTCAGGATGGAAAAAATATAATGATTATTACTGACAATAATAGCTAACACTTAAAGGCGTGTAGTAGGTACTCAATAAATGTTTATTGTCCAACTTTTGCAAAGTTTGCAAGCACATTATTGCACTTGATCTTCCCAAAGTCCTGTGACACAGGTGCCATTATTATACTCATTGTACAGATGAAGAAACTGAGGCTGAGAATGATTAGATACCTTCCCCAAGGTCATCGAGTGAGAAAATGTGTAAAGTTGAATTTGAACCCAGCTATCCCTGGCTCCGAGTGCAGATCTCCATCCACCGTGTGACCCAGCTGCCCTGAAGAAATGCTTATTGCATGAGAGCTGAGTATGACACAGTCAAAAAAGCCAGTGGGACTTTAGGTGGTGGACTGTGAGCATGGAATGACACTTTTGCAGCCACATACAGTTAATGCACTGATTTTTTTTTCTTAGAAGAGAAGTTTCTCTAGGGCCTTAAGCTCATGCCATGGAGAAAATTGGAGAAAACATTGAGAAAACTCATGCAGTTTTCCATGGAGAAAAATTCAAGGAACTTGGAAGGCTTAGCATGGAGAAGAAAGA